CACTCTTTTAATCAGAGCCCACCCATGCCTCGCCATCACCTCACTGCTCAAACCCTGCTAGAGCCCTTGCTTGGCTCCTGCCTTGAGTACTGTACCTCTCCCGTCATCTCTTTCTACACTCCATGTACTCGGAACGTCTCTGCTAAAGTCATCTCCTCCTCCTCCTGCCATGTTTCACATTCCCTCCCCACCATACACACACCCTCACATACTTTTTTTAATTCTGCTGTGGCTCCTGTTCTCTTGCCACATCTTCCCTCATGTGCTCCTTCGGCAACTCACAACCTTTTCTCTCGCCTCCTTTGTCTCTTTCTTCAACTTTGATCTTTTCACCTTCCATCAGGCTGCCCTCTGGCCCCATGTAGAACAATCTTCATCATCTTAGCCACTAAACTTCAGTGCTCTCTCCTCTTTTGGTATTTCATTTGCCTCCTCACGAGTAATATTCCTGTCTGTGTCTGGTCTTTGCGTTAGCTTAAAATCTTCAGGGCAGGAAATTTGGCTTGCTCTGCATCTGTAAATTGCTGTAAAAATCCCATTTATAGTGCAAGAGATTTACCATTTTGATAATCCCATAATACTTCAGTCTGTGAGCTTTTCTCATTCTCTTTCCTGTCACTGTTACCCTGCTAGAGTGCTTCTTTGTATCCCCCATCTACCCTTCTTCTGGGGCAATTGTAATCCTGCCCCTGCTAAAATACAAAAAGAAAAGGAGTACTTGTGGCACCTTAGAGACTAACCAATTTATTTGAGCATGAGCTTTCGTGAGCTCACGAAAGCTCATTGGTTAGTCTCTAAGGTGCCACAAGTACTCCTTTTCTTTTTGCGAATACAAACTAACACGGCTGTTCCTCTGAAACCTGCTAAAATACAGTTTCACTTGCATGTCAACTGCTTCCAGAAGAGTCAATCAGAGTCTTCATTACCAGTAATCTGGCTCCCTGTTGGGTCCATCAGCGAATGCCCTTTCTGTGCTTGTTCTCCTTCTTGCCAAAGGTTTCCCAGTACTAATGATTTAAATTCCTCACTCTTTACACCATCTTTTCACTCACACACTGCAGCTCTTAGTTCTCCTGTTTTGCTGGGCTTGCCTGGGAATGCAGCTGGAAGATAGGCCTCTACAGCAGATTGCACTTGAGTTTTTCCTACAGTGTCCTAGTTTGTGGGTACTGACAGATTCTCATACCACAGTTTTCACCAAAAGGTTTGTGAGCTGGACTCTTAGTAATGATCCTGTGGTTCCTTTATTATCACACACCTGACTTTGTCCCAGTGATTAAAAAGCCCTTTCTTAGCACTGTGATTTCCTGTGTCCTTGAGGAACTCTCAGAGCTTGAGGAATGTTCACCCTGTTCTTCTGCAGTTGGAAGACAAGTACCTTCCAAGGGAAATTTTCTGTTCCTCCTTGGTTTTCCTCTGGCAGGATACTGGTTGTTTGACTGGAGGATGCAGGCAGTTAGTTCTATGGTGAGCCTTCCTCCAAGGCTCTGCACTCCAAGGTGGCTTGCCTCAAAACCCCTCTGTCTCTTGCTTGTTGCACAGTGCAGCCTGCCTGGCCTCAGAATTTTGCTTGGTTTCTGGGAGTTCAAGCTGCCTCCATTGCTTCTTGCTCACATTTCTAAGTTAGACTGCAAATGCTTTGGTTCAGGGACCATACCTTTCTTTGCCTTCCTTGCAGCACCCAGCACGCTTTTGAGCATTATAGAGTAATAATCACTTGGCAAAGAGTCCTGCATTCAGCACCCTGCCTGACCCTCCACTGACTTTCTCAATCATTTACCCCTAATTCCACTTGCCTTCTGTCTCAGAGCCCGATTGGTGTCCTTTCACCTTCCTAAGAGCTTAGTCTCTGTTGGCCATAGTTTAGATGGTGGATTCTCTTGACTCCTGCTCACACCATGCTGCTTTCTGTGTTTGTCTTATTCTTGCTCTACATCTCCCAGCCCTTCTGTAGGTGTTTGGGGCTTTGGATACCAAAGTGCTCTTTCCCATATTCCATTATTAGCGTGCAGAGGAATGATACTCACTTTTCTAAATATTGAGTTGTGTGGTATGTGTGACGTTCCCCTGGTGTTACCTGGACTGATGATCTGGTAGGTCACTCCAATCCTCGACTCTGAGCCAGCCTTGCCTTGCTCTGCTCTGAGAACCCCCCACTCCCGGGCTGTTCAGACAGCCTCTACCATGTAAGCAGCTCCCAGCTACGTGAGCGAGCACTTTTGGCCAGCACTGCTTGGACTGTGCAACCGAATGACACTAGCCAGTATCTGCGGTCCCAGACACAATCCTAGGAACCTCCGTCTTGCAGTGTCCAGTTATGCCCGCTGGATGCTGCAAGCTTATATGAGTTCGTCAGTTTAACAAATAAATTGATATATATCAGGCTTGTTATCCCAAGGGGAGTCTCTGATATGCTTCAAACCAGTGCACTGCTTCATGTAGAATAAACAAATTAACTACAAAAGATAGATTTAAAGTGATTATAAGTCAAAGCACAAGAAGTACGATTTGGTCAAATGAAATAAAAGCAAAACACATTCTAAGCTGATCTTAACACTTTCGGTGCCCTTACAAACTTAGATGTTCTCATCACAGACTGGCTGGTTGCCCTTCAGCCAGGCTCTCCCCTTTGATCAGCGCTTCAGTTGCTTGGTGGTGGTGTCTGTAGATGGAGTTGGAAGAGAGAGCCAGCATGGCAAACGTCTCTCCCTTTTATCATGTCTTTTCTTCCCTCCTGGCTTTGCCCCCCCCCCCTTCAGAGTCAGGTGAGCATTACCTCATCATAGCCCCAAACTGACCAAGGGAAGGGGGGTGACTCCCTCAAGAGTCCAACAGATCCTTTGTTGCTGCCTAGGCCAGTGTCCTTTGTTCCTGTGAGGCTGGGCTGGGTTTGTCCCATGTATGCCCTGATGAGGTGTGAACTGATCGCCATATTTGGGGTCAGGAAGGAATTTTCCCCCAGGGCAGACTGGAAGAGGCCTGGGGCTTTTTTGCCTTCCTCTGTAGCATGGGGCACGGGTCACTTGCTGGAGGATTCTCTGCACCCTGAAGTCTTTAAACCATGATTTGAGGACTTCAATAGCTCAGACATAGGTGAGAGGTTTATCGCAGGAGTGGGTGGGTGAGATTCTGTGGCCTGTGTTGTGCAGGATGTCGGACTAGATGATCATGATGGTCCCTTCTGACCTTTAATATCTATGAACTGCCCCTCTGCTCCTGGAGAGTTTTTGCCTGGGCTTGTTTTAAGCTATGAGGACACGTTTTCAGCCTCATAACTATATACATGAAATTACAACCTATAACATTACTGTAACAACAATGCTCAGTGTGTCATGAGCCTTCCAAAGACACCTACCATGACAAACTTTGCATTGTGTACCACACAATCGTATTAAAGAATGAACATGGTGGTGTAGGGCATTTCCCCAAGGTACGGAGTGTCACAGTGTGGTATGAGAGGTTCGTTTTTGTTTTTTTTTCCCCCTCCCCTCCTCCTCCGCCCCTCCCCCTCCCCCATGCATGTGAATTGCCTTGCTCCAAGTAAAACTTGGAACTGAGATCAAGGGCCGTGGTGGAAATAGGTTATAGTGTACATGTTCGACAAGCCAGCAGAATAAATGCTCATTTACAGGATCTCCAGGACTTGCCCCTGAAGCAGCCTAGTTCAATACGATATCAATAATACATGGCCTGGGCTTTCTATGCTCAAAGCCTGCTAATTGGCTAATTAAAAAGTGAAAGTGTTGGACGAGCAAACATGTCACCCTCAAGAGACTTGTTCTGTAGCAGAGCCAAGGTCAAGCTTGTGTTAACACTGTTTCATAATATTCACCTTTGTTATAAGCAATCCCAGAAGCTCAAAGGATGATTTCATAATCCTGGGCTTTCTGGTTGGTGTTTCTCACTATCATTTTGTCTGCCTTCTGTGTCTGCATCTTCACTAAATAATCAGATATTCTTTTCCTGCCATGTATCCTCTGTAAGCACAGTGGTGCCTTATATCAATGCCCATAAATATAAAGATCAGTGACTAGTATTCTGGAAGAAGCAGCTGTGTGACATGGAGTTCATGAAACAACTGGTTGACTTCAGGGAAATAATTGCTGGACAAGATTTCAGCTCTTGCCTCGCTGTCATGACTCACGGCCACATGTTATTCTAGTGAGCTGAGCATGGTTAACTCAGGGCTATTTTGAACCTCATGGATCAGATTCTGCACTCTGATTCACCTTAGATTCCTACTGAATTCTATGGAAGTTTGGGTCCAAGGAATGCAGAATTGGGCTCCACTCCATGATTAAACACTTTCTCATTCATCTAAATAGTAGGTACCTTGCTGCTTCATGGCTCAGCTTAATTCTCGCCTTAGAACTAAGCTTGAAACAGGATGGGAATAGGAACCTATTATATAAACCCACTCACAAGTGGTAGCATTTGAACCACTGTCCAGTAATCAGAACCAACAGAGAAATTCAGTGTGAGTACTACCATGAATGTGTCTCATGTGAACCTATTAAATTTAAAATAAGAGGATGGCAGCTCTGTGGGTCAAATGCTAGCACTGTGAGTTGGTATTCAGCAGAACAGGGTTTGAATTTCATCCTGCTTTGGAGTTGGCACACACAGCTCTAGTGGGAGAAGACATCCCCTTTGTTACTCAGCAGCGACCCCGCCAGCGGGTTAGGCAGAGCAGCCTGCGTTTATCGGAGAAATCCTGCTGAGACGTGGCACATTTGGGAAGGAGTGTACCCCACCCCTGCCTGCCTGCATGGAGCTGCTACTTTTATCTTGGCTGGCTTTTCCTTTTCAAAAGGCCAAAAGTTCTATTCTGTTCTATTTTTTACTACCTGGTACACCATCTCCCAGCCCCCAGAGAACACTTACTTACTATTCTACAGTGAACTGGTCAAATTGCCATGGTACCTGCAGTAGGGCTTTTGTTAACAGTGATAAAGAAGGAAATGTTGTTGTGTAATTTGTGACCTTTCCACTCTCCTCAGATCGTGGACACCTTCTTCATTGGTCGCTATGTCCTGGTCTCCCTTCTCAGTGTGACATTTCTAGGAAGTCTGTTCCTGGTTCTGGTTCACCATATCTTGGAGCCAGTGTATGCTAAACCACTCTGAGTTAATTAGCTGTTCTGAAGAAGGGAATTCCCCATGCTCCAAAGTAGACAATGTGTTACCAGTTGGGTAAAGAAAATATGCTCCCCAAATCTCTCCAGAAACCTTTCTTCAAGTGATGTTATGAGACCTACACTGATTTCCAGAATCAGCATCTGCTTTCTGGGGCCCTGGCATCTCCAGAATGAAGTTGTAGAATGTGTATGCTTTGGACTGGATAATTACCAAATGTTGCTGCTGTGTCTTTCGAAGCTGAGAACTGTTTCCTGGCAGAGACAGTCCTGTTTACAGACTTTATCGTGTGTCTCCAGTATTTTTTTTTTCCAGGGGTACATCCATGGTCTCTGTTCTATGGAAATTTAGCTGCTCTGGCTTCTCCTATTCCTCATCTACAGTTGTAGTCCTAGCTGAAATTTCCTAAAAGATCTGATCCTTACCTGAACCACTGGGGTCTAAAAGTCAGGCTGGAAATCTTTCCAACAAAGGAGGTGGTGCAGAATGCCATGATGGAGGCCTTTCCTGGTGCTGGTGCTTTTGGCTAAAGGAAGTATGGAAATAAATAAAAAGGGGAACTGAACTTGGAGGCTTTAGCCCAGTTCAGTTTGAACTGTGGGTGTTAGAAGTTTGGGTTGGTTCACCTATCCCTGCCATTTTTGGCATTGTAATCCTTCTCAAAACACCTGAGAAATTATTTCAGAGGCAGAAGCAAGTGGAGAGGGTAAACTCATGGGAAAGTGAGATCCTATTTTTATGGCAATAAAGAAGCAGGAACAGGAAGAACTAAATGTTTCTCAGTTTCCCTGGCTTAAAAAGCACTGACGTGACAGTTCAAAGGTGTTGCTTATGCCCAGCTCTGAATCCAGGGCCTCTTTCAGAGACACTCTGGCACAAGGAAATGGATCTGTGTTGCCATTCTTGAGCTTGCCCTGAACCGGGGTTTATTTTGCTGCCTCCTTGCTCCCTTGGAGAGGGTCAGGGAGGGGATTGCGAGCTCCTCTGTGCAGGGAGCTGAATGTGCATGTCACTAGATATTCCCACCAGCATTTCAGGGAGGAAAACCTGCTGCAGAAGGTGGAACCACTGACGGGAGGCTAGGGACAGAACGGTGGGAGCAGATGTGGGGACCTCTTCCCCCATGCTCTTCTGTGGGCTGAGGCGATCTGGCCTTGAGCCCAGAGCAAGAGTGAAGTTTTGAAAAGTTATGTTTTTATGCAAGCTACATTTGAAAAATGCTGCAGGAGGAGGCCGTGGAGGAAAGGGTAGGACATGCTGATTTCCATACATGACTAGGCCACCTGGGCCCAAACTTTCTACTGTAATAAAAACCATCTTTGGGCTGGGAATGGGGCCTGAGAAATTGTAGCCCAGAGGGTTTTTTTCCCAGACCCATTCAACGCCCTGTATAATGTATATGCCACCTTAGACACTTCCCTAACACCCGTGGCACTTGACAAAAACAGCTGCTATGCAGCTAGAGCATTTTAATAAAGAAATCTCATGCTCATTCTAGGGCTAGGTTTTGTCATCAGCTCTTTTCTTCTCCTCTAGGTATTCCTTTGCACTCTGTTTTATTTAGTGAATTGTATTTAATGGATCCCCAAGGGCTTATTTGTTGCCCTCCCTTCCTTCTTCATGCAAGTGCAAAACTAATGAGTCCCTCTGAGAAGCCACTGGCTGACTGGTTCCTAGAGGACAAAATAAAGAATAATGTGTTTTTTAGCAATTTGATGACCGCTCCAGTCCCTATAACTGTGGAGGGGCCTTCACTTATGAGCGAAGCTGAAGGCTGGAGTTCTCGTGCCACTCATGCCCTTTTGGAAATTCACCTTTTTGTAGGCCAGCTGGTGATTGGCATGCAACTTTAGGCCTGGACTCTCCAAAGCCATATTGGGATTGGCCACTTGGGCCTTGCGCGTGATGCCATAGCCACATACCTGCTCCCAGTGGGACACACTTGACTGCTCAGTACTGAAAGGGGATGTGACTAAAAAATTCCAGTAGGACAACCACCCTCGGCGGTGCTTTGGGGAACTTCTGGATATCCCCATTGTTCCAGAAGGGGAAAGTAAATGGTTCTTTCCAAAATTCTGTCCTTAAATGAGTGAAATAAGAATTGTCATGTAATTTAGGGCATATTGCTCGTGACATTTTTCTGGGCATTTGGGGGGCAATGTAGACGTGTGTGTTTTTCGAACTCTGAATCAAACAAAAGTACACAGAGTCCCTTTCTAGTGAGATTCCTGCTCATAATTCAGGCAGGGTAGCCAATGGCGTAGGAGCTGGGGTAGGATAGATCATGAAAAAAACCACATCATTTATATAAATAAACACCTGAAGCCTCTGACTCCAGCCATGTCTGGAACGACAACCAATCCCACTCAGCTTTCTCGGATGCCTGGGTCAAACTTCAGCAGAATGGCCCAGGGAGCGTTTTATGTTCTCAGAAGCACAACGCACTGACAAAGGGCAAACTTCTAATGCAAATGTTTTGCGGATGTCCTATGTGCACCTCGCAGGTCGGTGAAACTAGTCTTTGTGATGCCTCAGGTATAATGTGCCACCATCCAAGCAATGCATGCTCTGTTGCCTATTGTTTAGTTACGTACTTGCACCATATCTGCCTGTTCGTACTCATACAATGCTAAATGCCACTCCTTTCCACTGACTGTACCTAACTACTTCTTTCAGGCCATGAAATAGCTTCGCTGGTTTTACTGACACCATGGTTCCTCCATCACTTCTTGCAATTTTCACAGTCTATCCTGCCTGAACTATTCCTAGCTCCTGTGGAGGGAAAGATCTCCCTTTGCTGGCATTGGCTGTAGAAAGCTTGTCATTCGTTTTGTTAGAAAACTGAAGTGGGGAAGCAACCCCTTTCTTCTGATGAAAGCACAAAATCTGATGGAGAGGGGCTCTGGTGAATGAACTTCTAACTAGATCAGGGACGGGCAAACATTTGGCCTGAGGGCTGCATCGGGTTTCTGAAATTGTATGGAGGGCCGGTTAGGGGAGGCTGTGCCTCCCAAAACAGCCAGGCATGGCCCGGCCCCCACCCCTTGTCTGACCCCCTGATGCCCCCCCTGGATTCCTGCCCCATCCAACCCCCCTTGTTCCCTGACAGCCCCCTGGGGACTCCTGCCCCTAACTGCTTCCCCCCCCTCCCTTCCTGACTGCCCCCCTGGGACTCCTGCCCCATCCAACCACCCTTTCTCCCTGACTGCCCCCAGACCCTCCGCCCCTAACTGTCTGCTGCTGGCCCATCCAACCCCCCCTCCTTCCTGACTGCCCCTCCGGGACCCCTGTCCCCTGACTGCCCCCAGCACCCCTGCCCCTAGCTGCCCCCTGCCGCCCCATCCAACCCCACACCTTCCTGACTGCCCCCCATGACCCCCGCCTCCATTCAACCCCCCTGTTCCCCACCCTCTGACCGCCCTGACCCCTATCCACACCCCCGGCCCCTGACCACCCCTCAAACTCCCCTGCCCCATTACTGCGCTGCCTGGAGCACCGGTGCCTGGCGGTGCGGCTGCACCAGGACAGGCATCCGTGCCCCGCAGCACAGAGCACTGAGTCAGGCCAGACTCTGCAGCCCTGCTGCCCAGAGCATTATGCTGGCAGCGCAGTGAGCTAAGGCTGGATGGGGGGACAGCAGGGGAGGCCCTGGGGGCGAGCCTCCTGGGGCAGGACGGTCCTGGGGGCCATAGTTTGCCCACCTCTGAACTAGATTGTATAACTTCATTGAAAAGTACTTGGCTCAGCATTGAATGAAGAGGAAACACAAATCAAAGTGATGCTAAGCTGCAACTTCATCTCTAACAAGAAAAATATGGGGGAAAGGGTGTGAACAATCCTGAAGTACTAAAAACCTTGCAAATAAAAGCCTGCAGCTCCCATTGGAGCGCTTAGGGGCCAGAGCCAGGCCATGCCGTGGCTTCTGGGAGCCAGTTGATGCAGCCCCCGACCCTGCGCCCTGGCCGGAGGGGAGCCAAGCCACGTGGTGTGGCCCCCGATCTGGCGCCCCGGCTAGAGCACCAAAGCGGGGCAAGCCCCAGACCCAGTTCCCCAGTGGGAGCTTGCGGGCCGGCTTAAAATGGCTCGCGGGCTGCAGTTTGCCCACCCCGACGTAGACAAAGCCAAGAGTTCAGTTAGTGGTGAGCTCGTTCACTGCTCTGAGTCTTTGCTCTAACTGCATAGCTCAGCCTGTAAGCTCCTGGGAGCAGGGTTGTCTGTATTATCTGTGTTGTATATCATCAAGAATATTGTTGGTGCTTAAATGGTAACGAAAGGAATGCTACGGCTTCAATTCAATTCGGTGGTCACCAACCCAGCGATCGTGATCGATCCTAGAGCCTCTGCCAGTCGATCGCAATCTCTGGGCCTCTACAAAGCCAGTGGCGCACTGGGGCTTAGGCGAGCTGCCTGCTGTAGCCCTATGCCGCTCCCGAAAGCGGCTGGCTGCTGGCACGTTTCTGGGAACTGGCCAATGGGAGCTGTGGGGGCGGAGCTTGCAGGCGTGAGCAGTGCATGGAGACCCGCTGCTCCCTCTCCTGGAGGGACTGCAGAGATTTGCCAGCAGCCAGCTACTCCTGAGAGCAGCGTGGGGCCACGGCAGGCAGGCAGCCTGCCAGAGCTCCGCTGTGCCGCCAGCCAGGAGCCGCCAATTGTAAGTGCCTCCCAGCCAGAGCTTGCATCCTTTCCCACACTCCAATCCCCTGCACCAGCCCGGGGCCCCCTCCTGCACCAACCTCCCTCCCAGAGACCACACCTCTCACCCTCTCCTGCACCCCAATCCCCTGCACCAGCCATGGCATGGCCTGGCTCTGGCCCCTAAGCGCTCCAATGGGAGTTGCGGGCTTTTATTTGCAAGGTTTTTAGTACCTCAGGGTTGTTCACACCCTTTTTCCCCATATTCCCCCCTATGCACCCAAACTCCCTCCCAGACCCCTCACCCCCTCCTGCATCCCAATCCCTTGTCCCACCCTGGAGCCCCCTCCTGCACCCAACTCCCACTCAGAGCTTGCACCCCTCACTCCCGCACCCCAACCCCCTGCCCCAGCCTGGTGAAAGTGAGTGAGGGTGAGGGAGAGTGAGTAACAGAGGGTGGGGGGAATGGAGTGAGCAGGGTGGGGCCTCAGGGAAGAGGTGGGGTAGATCCTGGGTTGATCTTAAATTCAAAAAGTGATCTTGTGAATAAAAAGGTGGAGACCACTGATCTAGTTGGATTGTAGTAAAGCATTTGTCTCATGGAATGTTACCTCAGATTGGCTTCAACCTCAGCTTCTTCATATGGATTGAACACTGACCCAAGGACTGTTGTTAAACAACAATAGATAGAGGTGGTGGGGAGTCAGTCTGAGTCTGGGTTTAACCTCACTCTTGAGGTGCAGGGAGAGTAGATGATGGAGGCACAAAAAGCAGGAGTGTGTTAATGAAATTTGCTGATGACAAAGTTGGGATTCATCATCAGCACAGGAGGATTGGAATATTATATAGATATATTATATGGATAGAGAAATGACTTTCAGCAGATCATAACCTTTCCCCTGATACTTTACAAAGCATGTTTTATATGTAATATAATTATATACAGATGAGGAATATGGGGGGTTACAGTGTGCTTCCCCCAAGGTACAGAATGTCACAATGCACATTGCAAAACATAATCCCAATTATATATAAAATGATGGGGTCTAAATTATCTGTTACCATTCAGGAGAGAAATCTTGATGTCATGGTATAGTTCTCTGAAAACATCCACTCAATGTACAGCGGCAGTGAAAAAAGCAAACAGAATGTTGGGAATCATTAAGAAGGAATAGATGATAACACAGAAAATATATTGCCCCTTGTGATAGACCCAGGCCAGTTGGGTACAGCAGAGTAGCAGAAGGTGGATAGAAAGCTGGCTAGATTGTCAGGCTCAAAGGGTAGTGATCAATGGCTCCATGTCTAGTTGACAGCCAGTATCAAGTGGAGTGCCCCAAGGGTCGGTCCTGGGGCCAGTTTTGTTCAATATCTTCATTAATGATCTGGAGGATGGTGTGGACTGCACCCTCAGCAAGTTTGAGGATGACACTAAACTGGGAGGAGAGGTAGATACGCTGGAGGGTAGGGATAGGATACAGAGGGACCTAGACAAATTGGAGGATTGGGCCAAAAGAAATCTGATGAGGTTCAACAAGGACAAGTGCAGAGTCCTGCACTTAGGACGGAAGAATCCCATGCACCGCTACAGACTAGGGGCCGAATGGCTCGGCAGCAGTTCTGCAGAAAAGGACCTAGGGGTTACAGTGGACGAGAAGCTGGATATGAGTCAACAGTGTGCCCTTGTTGGCAAGAAGGCCAATGGCATTTTGGGCTGTATATGTAGGGGCCTTGCCAGCAGATCGAGGGATGTGATCATTCCCCTCTATTCAACATTGGTGAGGCCTCATCTGGAGTCTTGTGTACAGTTTTGGGCCCCACACAACAAGAAGGATGTGAAAAAATTGGAAAGAGTCCAGTGGAGGGCAACAAAAATGATTAGGGGACTGGAACACATGACTTATGAGGAGAGGCTGAGGGAACTGGGATTGTTTAGTCTGCGGAAGAGAAGAATGAGGGGGGATTTGATAGCTGCTTTCAACTACTTGAAAGGGGGTTCCAAAGAGGAAGGTTCTAGACTGTTCTCAATGGTAGCAGATGACAGAACAAGGAGTAATGGTCTCAAGTTGCAGTGGGGGAGGTTTAGGTTGGATATTAGGAAAAAAATTTTCACTAGGAGGGTGGTGAAACACTGGAATGGGTTACTTAGGGAGGTGGTGGAATCTCCTTCCTTTGAGGTTTTTAAGGTCAGGCAAAGCCCTGGCTGGGATGATTTAGTTGGGGATTGGTCCTGCTTTGAGCAGGGGCTTGGACTAGATGACCTCCTGAGGTCCCTTCCAATCCTGATATTCTATTCTTTGAAGGCAGATATACTGACCACTGGATTAACAGTTTTCTGTTCCCTGAGTGACCAGAGCAGGTGCTGCTCCAGCCTAATGAGAACACCTGACTCCAATTAACCTGCAAAGAGTCAGGTGAGGCCATTAAGCTAATGTGACCCCCTGACTCTAATTAAGGCCCCTCTGATACTATAAAAGGGCTCACTCCAATCAGGCAGAGGAGAGCCAGGGAGTCAGAGGAGAGGAAGTGTGGCTGAAGGGCTGGTTAATGAAGACACCCTCAAGTCATTAGTAAGGGAGAAGCAGGAGAGCTGTGGGGAAGTGGCCCAGGGAAATGTAGCGACTCTGGCAGTGAAAGGTTGGCTGCCAATAGCTGCTACCATTAGGGTCCCCGGGCCGGAACCTGGAGTAGAGGGCGGGCCGGGTTCCCCCCCCCAACCCACCACTGCAGAAACTCTGGGAGTTCTCTCACCAACCTCCTTGCTGGCTTATGATGAAAAGGGCTCAGCGGTATGTATCCCTGGCCCTAGAGAGAGAAGGGTTACGTGGAGGGTTGCAGTGAGCCTCTGAAGCTAGCATAAACCGCCTGGAAGCACGGGACCCACGGGGACAAGGTCGGAGCTCTGCCACACTCTATATAAATCCATGGTATGCCCACATCTTGAATACTGCATGCAGATGTGGTTGCCTCTTGGAAATGGTACAGAAAAGAGCAACAAAAATGATTATGGGTATGGAACAGCTTCTATATGAGAGATTAATAAGACTGTGACTTTTCAGCTTCGAAAAGAAACAATGAAGGGGAAGGAGGTCTATAAAATCATGACTGGCGTGGAAAAAGTAAATAAGGAGGTGTTATTTACTCCTCATAACACAAGAACTAGGGGTCAGCAAATGAAATTAATAGGCAGCAGATTTAAAACAAACACAAGGAAAGATTTCTTCACACAACACACAGTCAACCTGTGGAACTCTTTGCCAGAGGATGGTTGAAGGCCAAGACTATAACAGAGCTCAGAAAAGAACTAGAGGAGAGGTCCATCAGTGACTATTAGCCAGGATGGGCAGGGATGGTGTCCCTAGCCTCTGTTTGCCAGAAGCTGGGAATGGGCGACAGCGGTTGGATTGCTTGATGATTCCCTGTTCTGTTCATTCCCTCTGGGCCACCTGGCACTGGCCACTATCAGAAGACAGGATACTGGGCTGGATGGACCTTTGGTCTGACCCAATATGACTATTCTTATGATTGAGTGGAGAGTTTAGCAGAAACAGTTGACAGCTTCAGTTTCTTTCCTCAGAAAGAACAATCACTAGAGCAAACTCTACAGATAGTGGATGCAGAATAAGACTCAAAGATTCCAGACTGACCACAGACAGTCACTGGAACTAATGGACAGCAGATGACCAAGTTGTTGCCTGTTTGCATAGTGTAGTTAGAAAATCAGTATGATTCAGAGACACTTAACAGACTGATCCATGCTGAACGTTAAAAATAGAACAAGCCCCTGATGGTGTGGCTGATGTGGTTCGTTCACCTGCACATCTACCAATGTGATATATGCCATCATGTACCAGCAATGCCCCTCTGCCAAGTACATTGGCCAAACCCGACAGTCTCATACTGTACTGTGCTGTATGTGTTTTCATGGAAGGACCGAATCATGCTTAAGAGCTTGCAAGGACATCCAATCTTTTCTAGAAGTGCAAATAGTCCACTTCTACTGACAAGGTCAAAAGTCTTTCTGAGATCGATGAAGGCTATGTAAAGGGGCTTTTTTTGTTCTCTGCATTTCTCTTGTAGTTGTCTCAGCTGTCTGATGTCTGTTCAGGTTGACTCGGGCAAAGTTTTTTCCCCATTATACTAAGGCAGAAAATGCCAAGATAGTTGTTAACAGTTGATCCTGTCAGCCTTGTTTTTATAAAGAGTGATGATGTTGGCATCTCTAATTTCTTGTGGTACTTCGCCTTCTTTCCAGAACAGGCAGAGCAACTCATGAAGGTGTTGCAATAGGTTAGGTTTTCCGCATTTTATGACCTCTGACAGCATGCAGTCTTTTCTGGGGGCTTTTCCATTGGGGAGGCCATCTACGGCAAGGGTAAGCTCCTCGACAGCTGGTTCATTGTCAAGTTGGTTCATAACAGGCAGGCTTTCGATGGTGTTGATGGCGCCCATAACAATATTCTCACATGAGTAAAGCTCAGGGTAGCATTCTACCCAGCGATCCATGTGCTTGGTGTGGTCGTTGATTGTTTCCTCTGTGGTTGATTTCAATGGGGCTGTCGTCTTTGAAGTTGGACGAACTTTCTGTTTTTGAACAATTTTTGAAATAAAAGTTCTGAAATCGTTGAAACATCCCATTTTAACATGTTTTTAATGAAAAGTTTCTATCGTTCATTTTGAAACAACTTTTTGTTTTGAAATTTGTTAGGGCGTAGCTAAAAACATGAACTTTTTAACAAAAATCTTGATTTACGCAACTCAAAGGGGTTTTTTGGATTTAGGTTCATGAAAATTTTCAAGATCTCAACTTTTAGTCCTGATTTGGGGTGAGAAATTTTTTTGAAATCTCAAAAAGTCTTACAGGATGGGAAATTTGTTTCATGCTACCTAGGCATTAAAGAGCAATCATCTTAAACCTTGAGGTTTGATAATGCTGTTATGAATGCAGGGCCAGAAACTGTTCAAGCATGGAGGAATCTTAACGCTGTCTAGATAAAACTCCAGTTGCATGGATTCCTTGTAGATGCTAAAAGGAGAATCCAAACTACTCCTACTACATAAATACTAATCCTGCTCATACCCTAAAGCTGGGATCAAAGGAATTTCAGTGGCATCAGTGATGTTAAGGAACATGCCAATCATTTATGCAACATGAATCCTTTGAACATCTTGGTGACTTTGAATTGATGCCCGAAACAAAATTCATATTTAAATTATCCTCTTAGTATTTATGCACGTGGATGTGTCTCACAGCAAACAAGGAAGGGCTCATTTGGGATGTACCTTTACACAGAAACTGTCCAGAGTTTAGTGCCCTGTTTCCCAACCATGAGTTCCTGGACTAGTCATGTGCTTACCTGCCAAGGTGCTTGGGCAGCTCCTCACAAAGGTAAGGCTGAGGCTTGGAGCATCCCATGTTCCCAGGTGGGTTGGAACATGTCCATTCAAATGGGAGGAGGTGGCTCTGGGCTCTCAGTCAAGGTCTGATTTTGGCAAACTGGGCAGCAGCTAGTAAAGTGTGCCTGAAAAATGTAAAGTCAAGGTTTTGCCATTTCTTTAGGAACTTTTTACTTCCACATGATCCACTTGATTTTTTTCCTCATTAATCAGACAATGTTTAAATGATCTTTCATTCTGTGAACAAGTTCTCCGAAAACAAACCATTTAATTGTGCCCGAAAAGAAGCACTGCAGCCCGCATGGCCCAGGAGACGTCCATCTTTGGAGCAGAAAGTGCTTTACCCATTATGGCAGTGGCAGGTTACTCAGGGGCTGATCCAGAGCCAACTGTGATGAAGGGAAAGGCTTCAACTGGTTTCAATGCCCATTGTGTAAATGGCTGCAGATTCCAGGCCTCACTGCCTAGACTAGTGAACCAGGACCCTGCCGAGACACTCAATACTGTAAGATGCACAAAGAAAACACACTGAAAAAATAAAGAGCGTGATTTTTTTCCCCTCTAAACTCTTTCAGTTATAGGGATTATAGGCATCGCTTGTGACACTAGTGTCCCTTTAAAGACTCAGGTCGGGAGATGGGTAATGATGAGTGTATACAGCACCTCCACGAGTAGTTGGGGTTATGCGGCTGTCTTGTGTGTTGTGTGGTATCTGACCTGGGGGGTGTAGTAGGAAGTCAAATCCTGCCTTTGTGTGCTAGAGTTGTTACTTGCCATATTCGATAAATCCTTGGATTTCTACAGCAAGTAATAAAGCTGGTAGCAGTGGCTTCAAGATGGCAAAAGTACTTTTGCCTGAGAAGAAATGTGCTCGTCATGCAAATGAGACTGGAATCTGACTACTTAAGAGCCTTTGAGCTGTTGATCTCAGTGAATGAGTGGTCTGACGCAAAAGCAGCACAGTGTTTTTGGATGGTGATGCCAAAGGCTTTGACCAGCAGCTTCCCAGTACAGATCATGGGCTGTGCAGACTGTTACATAAACCGTTATATGACTGCTCTGAGGGGGAATTGTTGCTTTTAAAAAAACAGAAGGAGCAGCAAGCCAGGAGGCAGCAGGGAGGAGAACCCCTGTGTGATGGGTTGGACCCCCCCATCCGGGATGTACTGGGATTTAACTGAGCCTTCCTGATCCACTAGGCTGGGCTCCCTCTCCCTCTTTTGCTGAATTAGGCTATCCAGTCTCTGGAGGCACGCACACACAGGTAGGGACACACCAGCTGTAGAATCACAGAGGGTCTGCAAACAGCTCTGTATGAGAAGACTCGGCTAGGAAATTGCCCAGCACTCAAGTGCAGCTCCCTCTGGAAAGCACACCCAAAATAATACTGTCTTGTGCTGTAGAGAAATCTATACAAAGTAAGCTCATAAATTCGCCCCCTCCCTCAGTGTGGAGGAAGGGATGCACAACTTCTTGTTTCCTCCAGTTAGAAATTGCACAAATTGGGTTTAATAATAAAAACAAGTTTATTAACTATACAAGGCAAATTTTAAGTGATTATAAGGGATAGCAAACAGAACAAAGCAGACTACCAAGCAAATAAAACAAAACACACATGCTAAGCTTGAGATCTTAAAGAGACTGGTTTCAAGAAATAATTTCTCACCCTAAATGTTGTTTTAGGCAAGTTGCAGAGTTTCTGTAGCTTAGAGTTCCAGTTCTCTCTCTTTACAGTCTAGACTCCTGTCTTAGTCTGGACTCAGCCCTTGCCTTTCCCACCACTCAGTTCCTTTGTCTCTTCAGGTACTTTCAGGAGTCTTTCTTCTTGGGCTGGAAGGCAAAGGCGAAGAGTCTTGTTTGCCTTACTCCCCAGCCTTAAATAAGATTTACATAAGGTGGGAATCTTTTGTTTCCCAGTCTTGACCTCCCCTTCCTTTTAGTGGAAAATTACTATAAGCCCAAGATGGTGTTTAGTAGCAGGTGACAGGACCACCTGACCTAGTAGTGTCACAGTTATGTCCCAGGACCCCTCTCAGGAAGGAGAGAGATTAGTGTCTTCAAAGTCTTATTGTTTCTTCCTAGTGGCCCATCAAGGCTGATGGCCTATTGTCTGGTGGGTGTCTCCCAAATACACACACAGTTGTAATTGTTACATAATCAGTATTCCTAACTTTAGATAAAGAAATGATACATATTCAGTAAATTATAACCTTCCCAATGATAAGATCCGTCTTGCATAAAATAGATCTCAGTTAGGCCATATGCATATCCTAAGCATATTTCCATAAAGAATATGGGGTGTACCGTCACACCCTGCATCGCAGTTTGTGTGCACGGAGGAGACAGTTCGGTCGGGCTTTCCCTGCCCCACCTGGCCAGGGGGGTGGCTCAAGCGGAGCAGAACCTGCAGTGCTGAGTCAGTGATTAAGTCATCCTCACAGACGTCCCTCTGGCTCCATTGGGATCTATTGTCACAGACTGTGTCACGTAATCCTGTATAACGTACTATGGCCTGTTGTTCCTACCGCCCAAGATGCAGATGTGTGGCCTCTTGTTTGCTAAAGAGACTGGGAGAGCTACTGTCAATAACTGGTGGGCTCCTGCCGCACTCACCACACCACCTATTGCACAGGGACTGAGGCTGTGTCCCAAACCAGGGGCACCTGCCATAGGGCCAGCATGGAAGGGCCCTGGCACTGATGCTCTGATAACACTAGCTAATGAGGCAGTAACACAATAAGTATTTTGAAGATGTGAAGTGGTGGGTCAGTATTATCGAGTCAGTTTATTTTATTTTTTACAGTGTGTTTATTGTCCTCATTAAAATGACTTTTTTTCAGCTGCTATATTCCCTTCTCAAGTTGGTCTCAAGTTGCAGTGGGGGAGGTTTAGATTGGATATTAGGAAAAACTTTTTCACTAAGAGGGTGGTGAAACACTGGAATGCGTTACCTAGGGAGGTGGTAGAATCTCCTTCCTTAGAGGTTTTTAAGGTCAGGCTTGACAAAGCCCTGGCTGGGATGATTTAACTGGGAATTGGTCCTGCTTCAAGCAGGGGGTTGGACTAGATGACCTTCTGGGGTCCCTTCCAACCCTGATATTCTATGATTCTATGATTCTGGTTGCATCAGAAGATACACATATCTATCATTTGCACCTGTCACCTTAGAAAAGGAACAAACATGAAAAACAAATCACTGTCTGTGACTGAATCATTTTCTTGTTCCCTCTTCTATGAGGGATTGAAGGCCGAGGTAGGTATTTTGAGCGTGAAAACTCACTGGCCATTCAGTGGCTATCTAGATTGGGGGACACCTCTAAAGAGCTGTCTACATTGTGCTCCAAGAGCCTGATCTAACTCGCGCTGCACTCAGTAAGAGAAGTCATCTTTCCAATGGGTGTAGGTTCAGGCCCTAAAAGAGGAGGGGTGTGCTCAGCCCGCAGACCTGTGCACTGGATTAAGAGAGAGGATTTTACCTGTTCAGTGCCAGATTTTTACCTTGGGAGCTAGAGGACAACAGAGGGAGCAAAACGTCTGACAGAGCTGAGAAACAGCCTGTGTGTACATTAGCCTCTTTTCAGAATATGATACTGATGTGTTTGCTGGACTCATTTCTACTAGCTTACATTATTGCCTGCATGCAAAGAGCTGGATTCCTGAATGGGTTCCAAGCTAATGAATTGAATGAAATATATTGTTACCACATACACTGCAAGCTGGCCTTGAAATACAAAAGGCTGATTACGGGAATCTCTGTGCTAAATTCCTCAGCCACCAACTTATCCTGAATTGTCACCTCCTCTCCTGGGCAGAAAGGTTCATTGGGTGGTGTTAATGTAGCTTAGAATTGTGTGTTGCATTTATGAATGGAGGTTTGTCAATAAAACAGCCTCTAGGGTCTGAACTGACTGCAGTGCAGGGACTGGCTTAAGCGTCTCCAGAGTGAGTACTGGAAAACCAGAGACCAGAACCCCACCTTGAGCTACTCACCGACATTGGGCCTGTTTTCTGAGGAGTTTGACTGCGTGCTGGGTGTTGCTCTGAGCACAGAGCCAACCATGGTGCATGACAACCTGGTTAGCCAGGGTGGTGCCCGGCTGGCCCCGGAATCCAGCATGGGGACTGATGGGAGCCAGGAGCAGGTGCCGAGTGAGGGCAGTGAAGAGACTGTTACTGAAACTGACCCCACACAGCAGCAGCACATCCTGGGGCCACACTTGGAAGAGCTGTTTGATGTCCCGTCCTCCCCGGCGAGGAACAGCTCTCTGCGGAGCCTGCAGCAGAGAGAGGCTGGACAGAAGCTGCCCCGGAGCCTCTTAAGCTTCTGACCCTGTTTCAATGTTTGTTAGGATTAATATAGGCATGGCAGGGATTTCTGCTCTGTTAACCAATGAAAAAGTTATGAGACACCCCAGCTAGCAGCATGTATCCACCAATGGCAGATTGTAGCCCAGTGCTGTGGCTTCCCCATCACATGGAGTTCAAAATGGTGACCGGGAAATGCAAATAGTAAAAACGCCTTCAAGTGCATTTTTACTGGAAAGGCACAGATTTTTGGTCCAGCCATTCCTATTTCCTAAAAATAACAACTTTGCATTGCCATGCCGGTAAGTATGCCATTCTATAACCTCTCCATGGCAGAAAGAGATGCTGGAAACTGAAGTGTAGGGGAGGGGAGAGGTGGAAATGAGTCCCAGTCACAAATCTAGTCCATTTCAGGGAAAGCTAGTCCAGGCAATCCACAAGTGACAAAACCCCAAATTTGACTGGGGTTCAAAATGCATCCAGAAATGTGCCATGGGGGGTGGGGTATAAGAGAGATGACTGTGTTTGCATGCAGCCATAGCAGTCTAAGCCATGTGGAAGCTAATGCAGTGTCCTGTTGATTCCCTCGTGAATTTTGAACCAATCCCAGGTGCTGATAGAAAGTTTTCCTGAAGCAGGAACCCCAGCTAGGCAGTCACTTTGCAGGGAAGGGTGTATTTCCCAGGGCCAGCTTCGTAGCTGACTAGCCCACTCCACTAATCAATGTGCTGGTCAGTCTCTCTACATCCGAATACTGTGGCTGCACACACTGCCGGTTTCCCACCAGAAGCTTGGAATAACATCTCCCTTGGCCAGCCGGGCAGCACAAGAACTGTTCTGCCCTCCAAAATGTGGAAGGCCCGAAATGATAGAAAAAGCTTTTGTAGCATTGCCACTGATGGCACCCTGCCCACCCCCACGCCCTCCCCCGGCCAACCCAAGCAGTTCTGCAGTTTTCTAGGGAAAAAAAGCCTCTCGTCTCTGCACTTCTTTCGCTGTGATTAACCAGGTCGTGTCAAGGGGCTTCTGTGCATCCTGCTTGCAATATATTGAAGTTCAGTTTGGAAAAGTAGCATTTTATGTTCTTGAAATTCCACAAGGATTTTTCTGTGCTCCTGCATGGGGGTGTTTGAGACAATAACCCTCTGTGTCCTGTCCTGTTCCAGGCCCCTTACCCTCTGTTGGCCGCAGAACCTCTACAGCTCACTCACAGGGCAGTACGAGGCTGGCCCAATGTACCATTACAGAGGTAAGAGGAAATGTTCCTGTGATGAACTGATGGTTGAAGTTCTGCAGAGAGTCACCAACAAGTCCAGTACCTCAAACAAAGGGATTTGCGGCTCGAGCAAAGACCTGGTGGGAGACCAGAGGAAAGGCTCCGGCTGCCAGTGGGCTGCATAGCTTGAGGACAGGGTTTCAGTGTGGGAGGAGGCATTTGCTTTGCAGTTCCTGGAACAGGAATGGCTGCTAAGAGAGGACAGAGCTGAGCAGCTGTTGTCAGTAATGGCTACGAGAGTACCAGCTGTTGCTGCATTAACACCAAGGCCTCAGATACCTGCACGGTACCCTGGGATGCAATCCGGAAACAGCATGGAAAACTCCATGCCTGGGTAGCCCATGCAGTCAGGCCCCATGAGCGGCTGGGCAGGGCAACTTAGCTCCATGCAGCCCTCTGTCTTGACCTCCTCCCCTGTGGATGCCTCTAGCCCCTACCCCGTCATCAAGTTGTCAGCAAATGGGGAACCAAGGGAAAGGAGAATGGGGGCCCAGCAGACATGCCACAGGAGGGGGTTCTGTCTTGTACTTGGTTCCACTGTTCACACTTGTTCTTCCACTGGTTTTTTTTGTTTTTTTTCCCTGTAGGGGTCTGTTGTTACTGGTGTTTTGGTGCAGTAATGGTGGCTCCCTGCCTTGGAATGGGCAGCTGTTGTACTTTTATAACGTGTTTAGAAATAAAGATTGGTCTGTCTTCAAGGACGCCTATTGCCACCACTGCACCACATCAGACAGTGTGTATTTGAAATACGAAAGCTACCACATGATAGCATCCAAAGGCTGGTCTCAGAGCAGCAGCCGTGTTAGTCTGTATCCGCAAAAGGAAAAGCAGGACTTGTGGCACCTTAGAGACTAACCCATTTATTTGAGCCTAAGCTTTTGTGAGCTACAGCTCACTTCAGCGGATGCATACTGTGGAAAATCCAAACACTAGTCCTCTGTACAGTTAGGTACAGCAAGCCACACTTCAGTTACTTCCTTATATGAATCGATACTGTGAATCATCCTCCCCCACGCCCCATTTCATAAGTGGTCATGTCATTGATAAGTACATTGCATGAAATCAAGCCCCCACCTCTCCCCAAGCACTGAACATCCCCCTACACTAAATCAATGAGCCCCATCTCCACCCACCACAAGCACATTCATAGAGGTGCTGTTCCCCCTCGTCCATTGGACCAGGCAAGTCCATAACGTGGAAGCACAAAGCACCCCTGACTCCTGTGCCTGGGAGCATCCATCTCCAGCTGGGGCGGGTGCGCTGTCTGGCTGAGGCACCGATCCACAGGTGCCTCTCGCTGTCACAGGTCCATTCAGGAGGAAAAGGCTCAGCTCTGGCTTCACACAGATTGTGAAGAGCACAGCAAGCCACAGTGATGCGGACAGCGTTGAGGACACGGCATCCAAAGGGGTCTGTAGACACCTCCCGTGGGATTTCAATCTGCCAAAAGCACATTCAGCAACCACTCTGCACCTGCTGAGCGTGTAGTTAAACCGTCTTCTGCCAGGCCGCTGACATCAGGGTACAGTTTGATAAGTCAAGGCAAAAGGGGGTACACAGGGCCCCCCCGAATGCCGGTGGGGACAGTAACTCCGTATGACACTGTCATGTGGTGGGAATAGCGTCCCAGCCGGGCCATGAATGTAGACTGCTGATCAGCGGAAAACACTGGCATCATGAACTTTCCCTGTGCAGCCCCCATTAAATCACCCCTTGTGGTCCACAGGGACCTGTAGTTCCCTTTGAGGTTTATATGCTCGTGTGCTCCTTGAGGAGGGCAAACTATGGGCACATGAGCACAATGGGCACAGTTAGGAAACCCCATTCTCTCAAAGCCAGCAATTGCCTCTGGAATAGCTTTAATTCCAGTCACCTTGGGGTTACCCATACAACAGATGGCCTCAGAGACCTCTGCCAAAGCTGTACCCAAAGTCACCCTTCCAACACCAAACTGGCTGGCAACAGACCTGTAGCAGTCTGGGGTAGCCAGCTACCAGGATGGTCATAGAAACCCCCTTCTGGCCCAGCAAGGGTGGCCTCGTGTGTGTCTTTACACTGAAGGGTCATGGAAAGCTGCTCACGAAGCTCCAGAAATGTCGCTTTCTTCATGCACGCTGCCACCAGGGCTGCCCTCTGGCTGGGGGGCTGGACAAGTGCACAGCTGAGGGGCTGGAGCATGTGGCAGACCCACCACACACTAGCGTTACCATGAGCTGGCGTGGCCATCAGACGGGTGAAGAGGCTGCCCAGACCGATGAGGCAGCA